CCCCCCCTCCCCCACACTACCATCAACTTGTTATCCGTAAAAGTGATCAATATCAATTTTCATTTAACTTTGAATCCTTTTTCCATTCATCTCATTTGGCATCCTTCAGAAAATAAACGCCTGAATACTCGTGCTTCTACCAATTAAATTTACCTTTCAAACATTCTTACGACGATGACGTAGTGCCAATAAGCGTCATTGTTTTATTCAGCGATGAATTCTTTCTCTCAGTGGTTTCCTGAAAATTCTCCACTATTCTGCATGTTTTGTTTTGAAGCAGTTATTGGGCTTGCTACTCTCACACTTTATATTCATGATCCTATGTCCATTAGATACACAGAGAATACATTTCATTTCAAAGTGTGATTAATTTAAATGATAAATATCCTGGGTTTAGCGAGTGCTCATTTACTATGGATCTCTTATTGGCAGAGCACTGGAAAATAATCAATTCACAACCATTCCTGAAAACGTTGGGGAAATGAAAAATCTACTGCAATTGTGAGTTCCTTTAAATTTTGCTTTCCTTTCTTAAACTTTTCAAAAGTGAACTTAAACAAGCATTTGACGTTCTCCTGGTCGTGATAAATATCATCAGAGTTGTTGTCGATCCTGATCTCAATCCTAATTGGGTCGTGAACGTGATCTGATCGATAGTCATAGCGATGTTCGTCAGCGAACCATTGCCAAGCTCATTCTCAAAGAATTCATCAGTTAGCTTTTTTTATCGGACCCTCTCGAGTTTATTGTTAAGACATTGGTATACATTACATTTCGGCTGAAGGGCTTGGCAATATTATGAAAGGTAGATGAAAACGATTGGTTGTCAAAAGTACGGACAGAAATCCTACAACTTGCAAAACACTATTTCTTCCTGTGTTGCTGTAAATTATCTTCGTAAAATAACTATGTACAAGGTAATTATATAACATCATACTATGTTTTACATAATTTTTTAGAGACATGTCAAGAAACAAGATCGACCAAATTCCTGAGCGATTGCTAGACAATCTTAATAGACTCAAACTACTGTAGGTATCTGTGTGTGACAGGTTTGTTTACAGGCTATAAGTTCATAGTACATCGAATTTAAAGCAGATGTCTTTGGTTCTTATTGCGAATTGCTGTAAAAAAGAAAGTTGAGACGCAAATTAAGGTTCGGCACAAAGAACTGTCTTGAAGGTGGTGGAGGAGATATTCAACTCATGCTTAATTTATTTCAATCATTTTACCTTAATCAGTTCAGTCTTTTCAGTGTCGAAGGGGTTTCCTTAGCCTAAACTTTGAGGCAAATCGAGCCGACAATGTTTGACATTTGTGACATTTGTGACATTTGACATTTGTGACACTGTTTGACTATTTGACAGCCTTGAAATTTTCCTCATGTTTTGCCCTACCTCCTCATGTTTTGTTAGGGTAGCAAAAATATTCACGTGTTACCTTACACTATTTTACAGGTCATTACCACGAAATAATATCAGTTCCATATCAAGTCAGACTTTTTCCAAGCTCACTGACCTTGAGTATTTGTAAGTTAAATATTGCTCAAATAGTGCTTTACTGCGAAGGATCGTGCACATATACGTTAAATATCATTATTGTCACTTTTCCATATCCAAGTTGGAATGACTTCAGTTCCTAGCGAACACTGAATTTTATGTCTTCAAATTTGAGATTGCTGAATGGTAATCGCCTGGTCCGCATTCCAAATCGAGCCTTTAATAGTCTTAAGAAGCTTAAAATCGTGTAAGTTCGAGACATATCATTACTATTTTTTGTTCTTTTTATTTCAGTTTGTTTTTATTGTAGAGGAATGTTTAGCACCAAAACTTTTTATATTTTTCGATTTTCGAAGATTTAATTTGTCTACTTTCTCCAGAATGCTTTCAGATAACCAAATAGACCTCATTGGATCGAAGGCTTTCGTTTTAAGCAATTCAAGCATGAGAATGTAAGTTTTTACAAATTTCTTGATTCATGTTTATCTATGTATTCCTTCTATTTATCAGCCAGTCCGTTTGCCTGTTAATCCTGACCACTGATTCATTCCTCCAACCATCAATTCTTCTTTCCATCCATTTTTCAATTCATCTATTATGCTATGATGTCAGATGGCCTTTCACAACCATTGAAGTGATCTCTAGCCTGCAGATCTGGCGTAATTTAGGCGGGCGAGTGCTCAGCCGATCTTTATATCGAAAAATCGCCACCATCTTTGATTTTAATGGAAGCGGAAGGCTGTGGAGAGAAAGAAATTTTTAAACCAAGGGGGGGAATGACGGTCACTATTACTCCTCCCTGAACTCATTGTTCTTTTGCAAAAACTCCGTTAGCTCAAAAACGGAGTTTCTGATTGGTGCTAACATGGTGTTCGGATAAACGATCATGAGCTTATAACCTGCACAGCAGGCTGAGTGATCATGGGATATATTGTGTTCTTGTTTATCATCATGAATCAAAAATCTATTTACATCAGTACAATTTGATCTTTTCGACTTTTTTTAAATACCTTTTTCAGATATCTGATTCGCACAGCAATGAAAGCAGTGGATATTGAGTCATTTGAGGGTCTCCAGGGCCTTTCCACCAAAATGTAAGTATTAATTAAAACGAATCCTTAAAGCACAGCTTGTAACTTACTGCTGATGCATTAACAAACTGGAATATATAGTTTACAAAGACATGAAAAGTATGCGAATCTTGTCAAAGCTTTGAATTCCCTTTCTTCATCTCGGCAGAAGCATGAATGAAGGAGAAATAGGATCGCTGAATTTCAACCGGGAGAATGGTTCTGTGCAATGTAGGGTGCAACTGTAAGTCGTCTGTTTGCTTTGAAAATCTCTTATTAGAATAAGGTGCCAAACAGGCATTTCACCTTAACAGAGGTTCAGTTTACCAGAGATGCAGGTGGCCTTGGAAGTAGATTCTGTCCTACTGTCTGACTGTCATTCTGGCTGAATGGCTAGCTGACTCTCCTTCTGACTGAGAGATACCTCACCGTTCATACCGAAACGTAAATTCGCTGGTTTACAGTTGACGAGCAAACCTTATTTGAGTGGAAATTTATGGAGCTTACAGATCATTAAAACGGAAACCTAGATTAAATCATGACACGAGGATAAATTTCCCTCTAAAGCAGACCTCATTTTAATGAAAAGGGAAAATGTCAGATATGCCTAATTGTTAATTTCTTGTCTTTCTCACTAAAAAATCAAGGGGCATTGGACAAAGTGATCAAGAGTATATTGAGCTGGATGATATAGACGAAGACATGAAGGGTGTGCTACGTAGAGTTCTGGAGCAATCCGGTTTTGCTAGCCGTACAGGCAATTATAAATTCTTGCCTTGCCCTGCTGGAACCTTTGTTAATACTGCAGATAAAGGTTTCACGAGTTGTTCAGAGTGTCCTCCAGGTAAGAGTATGATCGATGAAATTCCTTTCTCTACCTTTCTGATTTGGCTGCGTTAAAAATTTTAATTTTTCGTTTATGCCATAACCTGAACTAGGCACGAATTTTGATTGGTTCTTTACTTATGATCTATTGGAGGACAGACGCATAGATAAGATCATTAACAATTTTTTCCTTCTTATTGTGCGTGCACAAAACAAATAGATTCCATGTTTCCGTTGGTCTGTTCAGAAACAGATCACAGAAGAAGTCAAAATTTGATAAGAACATCACTGCCACACTCGGCTGCGCCTCATGCGCATGCGCCACTTTTGTGTTCTAACCACATATTTACGTCATCTGTGATCTATTACTCAAAAGATGCACAGCAACATGCAATCTATTTACTAAATATTGTATCTCTAAAATACTACTTCGCTTTAACTTGCGAATTTAACTCACCCTTAAACTGTGGGATACATCTACTGATCTCAAGGTGGGAACTTATTTCCAGGAACTCTAATAGTTATCTGCCCATCATCGCATCTAATGCAAATAAGTACTCCCTAGAGCGCAATATGAAACTAAACCCTATGAAGTGTAAAGTGATGGTTGTTGACCTTCTCCAGTATAAATCAACTTATTCCAGCCCTCTACTAATTAGGGGGTGCCCTAATCGAAAGGGTATCCCAGTACAAACTGCTAGGGGTCATAGTTTCTGATGACCTTTCATGGAGCGCACGTTGTGATTACATATACGATAAAGCTTCCAAACGCTTCTATGGGTTGAGGATTCTTAAGAAAAGGGGACTTTCACCTTCCCAATTAGTATCTTTATATTGCAGTGCGATTCGCTCTGTGCTCGAATATGCGTCCCCTGTATGGGCGGCACTTCCAGCCTACTTAAGTGACCTTTTAGAAAAAGTCCCGAGGAGAGTTCTTTATATTGTCTTCCCTGATCTTTTTTATAGCAACGCACTACATCTTGCTGACCTTGAACTTCTTAGTGATAGGCGGCAATAGGCTTGCGTGAGTTTTTCCAATTCCTGTCATGTGTCAGGAACAGTTAGTATAACAGTTTACCACGGTTATAATTTACGCCCAGGCTCACAATCGTATCAGGCCTCTACTGGCAAATGCAAAAGATTTAATGATTTTGTAACTGTCAAATTTCAAAATGTATGTCGCTACCGCCCCCTGTAATTCAGTTGTTACTGCAATAGGCTTGACAAAACGATTGATTGATTGATTGATTGATTGATTGATTGGCCTGCTAGACGCCGGGTTGAAATGCCTGCGCCCGAGTGCTGCGCAGGTTCACTGCTTCCTGTTTGTTCAAGACACTTGAATTGAGCTGCCAAGGAACCTGACAAAAGTATAGACGAGGGGAGAGGGCTGCTTTTGAATTTTTTCATTACATCCAGTGAGAGAGTTAGTATTCCTGATCCCTATTGGTCAATCTGGTAACCAGCGGCAAAGAGTCATCGTCTATGAAGCAAGACTTTAATTCGAATACACAAAGTTATACTGCAACTTGCCAGTTGGCCAGTTGGCGAGCACTGCGAGGCAAGGATCTCCCTCTTCACAGAACTTCTAAAAGCCTTATGCACCATGATAACTATTCATAGGGATGGCTCTTTGACTGAACCCGATCTTTGAAAATATAATCATGGTTTAATAAGGATAGATGAATAGACCCCTAAGTGGAGAGTTACTGTCGGGTCTAAATTCGTCTCTTTCACTCATCTCTTCTTGTTTCAGGAGGCTTTTTTTCCGACACCTTAGCATACGTCAGCGACCAGTGTAAAAGATGCCCGAACGGCACATTTGTTTCACCTGATAAAAAGCCAGGAAGGCGAGCATTGGATTGCGCCGCATGCCCCCAAGGTAATGGAAATTGCAGATACGTGGATCTCGATATATATGAACGCTAACTACTATAAAATTTCAATCTTTTCTTTAACAAAAATCAAATTTTTCACATGAAGAAAGTTTTTCGGATAAGAACTCTTCACCTAGCATTTATCAGCCAGTTAATCAGAATTATTTGTTTCTTCCTCTTTTCATTTAGCTTACTCAGACGGATATACGATCTTTGATAATTAAATAAACGGAACTACGAGATTATCTTATTGAACCAACCAACTCAAATATACGTCTAAAACGGTAAGGCGTCTTTGCATCGCTAATATCATCTTACATTGATTGAACAATTTCTTTACAGGAACAAATACTTCCTCTTTTAGTGGATTCCGTGCTTGCAAATGCCTGAAAGGATTTTACCGTACCCACCTGTTTAAAGGTTGTCAGGCTTGTCAAAAAGATGGCTTCCTATGTGTCGACGATTATGTCACACTCAAACCAGGATTTTGGTGGATGTGGTTTAATGACGTCTTCAAAGGCATTTACCGAAACTTTACCCTTAACTTGCGGGCTTCGAAGCCTTCCTCCGACAATCACTTAGTTGAATACACCTTTGATCTGCCCTTACCTCACGAATGCCCGAGAAAGGAATCTTGCCTTGGTGGTCTGGATTCAGCGTGCAAACAAGGCCACGTTGGTCCGCTTTGCGAAGTTTGCAGCCCTGGGTTTTACAAACGACTTCAGACTTGTAAGACGTGTCCAACAAAGACTTGGATGGGAGTGCAGCTAGCCATAATCATCGTGTTGTTGCTGATACTAATTGTGGTTGTCGTATGGACAAGTTTAAAGAAAAACAGACAGAGTAACAACCAGCGTCCTCTTGTGGACATAATTTTGGCCAGGTTGAAGATAGTTATAGGATTTTACCAAGTCACATTTGGACTACTAAATGCTTTTTCATTCATCTCATGGCCAGGCTCTTTGTCTGTTATTGCACGGTATTCCGAAATACTTCAACTTAATGTCCTTCAAATTGCACCGATGCATTGCCTTTTGCCGCAGCTTAAAATAGACGCATTTGGAAGTTTGTTTTTCATTTTGGCCATGAACTTTGGGGCTATTGTCTTGGCTGTGGTAGCTTATTGGGTGCGAAAGTTTATGATCCTCAGAAACGACCAGCTTGAAGATGACAGAAAATCTGAACAAGTGTCTCAGACTAAAGAACTTATCTACAGAAATCTGTTTTTCTTCTTATTCATAACCTACCTAAGCACTTGTTCTAAGACTGCAAATGTCCTCCCACCCTCTTGCCGGGAGCTTTGTTTTACTGACGAAGGCTACGGCTGCTTCACGTATCTCAAATCTGATTTCACCGTCGAGTGTCGCAGTCCAAGATACAAGCGCTTGATCATCGTTGCATACTTAACCGTTGTATACATTTTCTTCGTCCCTTTGGCTTCTTTCCTTGTCCTTTGGAAGAAACACAAAAAAGTAAAGGTTACAGAAAACGAATCAAGAGAGCAACCTAGAAGCACCAGTGAAATTGCAGCCGGGCTAAGATTTCTTTCCGAAAATTACAACGGCACTTCGTGGTATTGGGAACTCATCGAGATGGTCCGTAAAGTCGTTTTAACATCTGGTTTCATTCTCATAGGAGGAGAGAGCAGGGCTTATGTTGGCTTGGCCTGTGTGATTTCGGGACTTTATGGAATGTTATTTGCCTACGTAAGCCCAATTGAAGATCCATTTGAAAACAAAATGATGATTATAACCCTTGCGGTTACGTTCGTAAACTTGGGTATCGGCGCTGTCTGTAGGATCCCCACGGAGAATGTTCCAGCCTCAATTGATCCCTATGTTGACTCAGTTATGTTCAATTTTTTAGTGGTTGGAGTCAATACGCTGGTGATTGGTTTACTTGTCGGTGAGTAATTCCACTTACACTTCTTGAACTATTCTACAAGTCTCATTGGATTTAGAAATAATAAATACTAATAACTTGTATTTATATAGCGCTCATATCTTGAGCTCAGGGCACTTTACAACACTGTACGGGGGACTTTACCAGTCTGCTAAGCAGTTTACAATCAAATAAAGGCGAAAGGACAGGTGCCTCCTCCCCGCAATTCCCGGTAACCAGGCCAGACCACAACACAGTAATCTCGTGAAGTGGGTTCTTTAACGTTCCCTGCCTAACCAAATCAACTAATTAATAGATGCAGGAGACGGGACCTCCATTTATTCGTCCCTATCCGAGAAGACTAGTATATCTAACCATTTCTTGATCAATGTCATAGAAAGGTAGCATATTCTTCTCAATTATTTTAAGACCCTGAGTGTTGTTCCGGCCGGGGCT